AATAATATATATATATATATATATATATATATATATATACATAGAGAGAGAGAGAGAGAGATTAGTTGTGATGGGGCCGGAGTCAGCGACGCGGTACGTGGCGGCCGTAACGATTCAGCGGTGGATTGGGCGACGAAACGAGGTGACGCGTGCGATGCGGCTCTTGGGCATTCTGCACGCGCTGCACGATGAGGCGAAAGGCAAAGTGACCGTCATGCACCTCCTGCAGGGCATGGAGAGCTTCACCGACGTGGCGGCCACGACAACAGTAGGCAGCAGTGATGACGACGCTCCTTCACGAGAGGCGGTCAATCTGCTGCTTGTTTTGGCTGTCGCGTACGCGGAAAGGCTGCACAGTGAAAACTACGCACGACAGCGCATCTGCAGCAAGGGTGCGTCGCAGCTGCAAGGGGCACGCGAGGAGGTCAAGCGGGTAGGGCAGCCGCGTGACGCCATGCAACGTATGTTGCTTCTCCCAGACACGGTGCTGGAGCAGCTGGTGCTGGGTGTGATGGCGGGCCGCAACCAGCAGGGGCCGCAGAGGGCACAGGGCCTGCAGCGGTGTCTGGATGCCTCGTGTATTACGTGTCTTTCACGTCTCGTTTGCGGTGTACAGGAGGCTAGGGAGGCAAAGCGGATGCGATCGCTGTGGTGGAGCCTACGGCGCACGCTCTTGGACACCCCCGTGGGGCTGAACTGCATCGCTTCCGACACGCTGAATGATGTTCCGCCGCTCCCAAAACCGCCGGTGGTGCGGGTGGGGAAGTCACTTACGGCGGAAGGGGAGAGGGAGTCGCAGACGCCGTCCCCGGTGAGTGACGATGAGAAGGATGATGCCACATTTGATACCAGCAGCGCCACGGCTGACGATGACGACGGCGAGGACGCCTACAGCGACGAGAAGTACTACAAGAGACAGAAGAGACGGGAGGAGGCCCGTGTCGCTCGCATCATGTCTATGCTGCAGATGGAGGGCCCAACGACAACGACAACGACGGCGGCGGCGGGCGAAGACGGCATGGACGAGGCGGGCGCCCTGAATTTGTACATGGAGTTGTTTGGCGACGTGGGGGATGTTTTTTTCCCTACACTCAACGCAATGAGGAGGACACCGCAGAAGGCTACCAATGACGTCTCCAAATGCTGCATCGTGTGTGAGTTGCAGGACGAGATGGAGGGAGTTGCGCAGTGTTCATGCGGCAGCTGGGTGCATGTGGGGTGTGCGGTTAGCGTCTCAAATGGCGTGCCGTGCTGTTCACAGTTCTGTCCCTTGTCGTAGGGACGGTCGCCTGAAACTCGTACAAAAAAAAAAGAAAAAAGAAGGAAATGTACATACGGCTCTTCCTTCCTTGTTATTTACTTTGCCACCCCCCTCCTCTCTCTCTACTGCTGCATGGACGGATGCGTGTGTGCATGCATTTCTCTGGGCACACGCTGCCAACTGTTCCATGTGTGTCTGTGTGGGTGAGGGGGTAGTGCAGCGCTGCAGGCTCCTCCTTCATTTCTCACTGCAACCAACGACACACACGTCCCCCCACTGCGTGCAACACAAAAACTTTTCTTTTTTCTTCTTCTTGAAGTGGGGGGAGGGGGAGAGGAAAAGAGAAAGGATGAGTGATGCTCTCGCAATACTCGACGGTGCCGCGGCATGCGTGTCGGCGTTGCTGATGCCGGAGGAATTGGGGGCTTTAATTAATTTCTTGCGTGGGGAATCGTGGGAGGAGGTGTCACCAACACCACCACCATCTTCATCCACGACGACTCCCACTGCGGTCGACGGGGATGTGAGCTGGCGCCTTCCGAATGTGCTGATAGGCTGCTACAACCTCATTCCGCTAGCAATTGCAGCAGATGTGTCGCTTGTTTCCGTCTCCTCCTCCGGCGAGAGAGCAGCGCTCGTGCACAACTTTGAGCGACACGAGTTCCGTGTGTTCGCTGTCAATTTGATGCCGGAGGGATGCCCCGCTGAGGATTCTGTGCGTCATAGGGGTGGGAGCGGTAGCGCCGTTGTCCGGCTGAATTGCATGGAGGCGGCACAGGCCTGGTGTGACTCCGTGTATGCCGAGAAGGACGGTTGCCCTGCCAGAAGCCCAATTCTGGCAGGAAGCAAACGCAGTCGGGGTGAGGCATCCGCGGCCTCCCCGCCACCACCCTCCATCGCGAGGCGTCAACACACCTCGGGGCCGTGCACGCGACGGGCGCTTTTTGTTTTGCGTTGCTGTGCTAATGAAGGCGCCGCATGCCGCGATGATGTCGGCCGGGCACGGCCCTTCTCCGATCCGCTGATGTTGCTTCTCCACGACATCAGTGCCCTGGCGGCGTTGTGCCGCGCCAGGGAGGCCACGTACCGATCCCGGATCCAATTTTCTGTCCTCCTGCTTCCGGATGATCTTGCGTACGGCGGCGCACTCTTGGAGGAGGCCCTGCGTGAGCCACTGAGTTGTGAGTACTGTGTGAAGCTTTTTCGCGGGTCTGCTGCTTCTGCGACGCGGCGCGACGATGCGGAGCGGAGAGCGTTCATTTGTCGCCTTGAGACTTGGATGAATGTCCCGACGGCTTCCCCACCCCCGGGTGACGCCGAGGGAGGAAAGGAAGGGGTGACAAGGCGGGAACATCAGCAGCAGCAGCAGCTGTGTAGTGGAGCGGAAGTTGAGGTGGCGGAGAAGACACGGCAGCGGGAGTCAAGTTTTTTCTTTGTGCGTCGCGAGAATCTACCGCTCTGTTGTTTTTTGCGGGAGGCGCTGCGTCGTTTTCCTGTCATCCTGCATCCGGTGGCGCTTCGTCACCTCCAGGCGTTGTGGGCAACACGGCGTCAACTTGGTGATGTTGTAACGGGTCTGCACGCGCTGCTCTGCCCCTTCGCCCACTTTGCGTCTACGCGTGACCGTCGTCTGTCCGCCACATTGGCGTCGCCTCCTGTTGGGCCGTCAATGACTGATACCACAGCAAGTGGGGGAAACGGGAGTGATGGCATCTGTCGTCACGCAGACACCGTAGACATTCTCAACGCTCTATTTGTCGCGGCGGGTCAGTTGGCAGATGGAGAGTTGTTGAATGAGGCGGTGACATTTGCGGTCTTGTACGAAGACATTGTGCGGAAGCGGTCGATGCGGCTGCAGCGAATCCCAGGTTTTGTCTCGGTGCTCGAACGACTGTGGCAGAGGTGGGGCAATGAGAAGGAAATGGCCTTTCACGAGGCGTTGGCGTCGTGTGTGCCGGTGTACACGCCAAGCAGCGCACTGCAGAATGAGTTCTATCATTCCCCACGAGAGGAGGGGGCGGAGGAGGCGAGGGCAGTTGTTAGCATCCCCGCAGCGATGCAGGTGCCCGCGGCAAAGACGCCGCTTGGGGCGGAGTTGATGCACTCCGCTCTACTTGCAGTGCTGCCGCCGCAGGAGTCACTGGAGGAGTTGAGGCGTGCTGTAGGCCAATGCAGCAGCCACGGTGGCCCGCGTGGGGAAGCGGGTGAGTGCCGTCACGACTGCAACGGTGCAGCGGCGGTGCAGGGGTGGGCGCTGTCTGAGAACAACTTTTTTAACCCCTCCATTCCGGACTCTGTGCGGCTGCTGCATCTTCTCACCGCCCATGCGCTGGGGCAGAGGAGCTCCAGGCAGAGGTACGTTTCCTTCGCTCTGCTGCAGCGCGTCTGTCAGATCCCTGACGAGGCGCTGGTGCGGGCGTTGAAGGAGCTGAAGCTTGCGGGGCTGGTGAAAGTCAACGGGCGCGACGCCAAGGTTAAGGCGACGCTGGACGGCTGACGCAGCGGGAACCGCGAGTGTGAGCAGTTATGCTGCTGCTGCTGGCGTTGGTGGTGGTGGTGGTGGTGGTGGTGGTGGTGTCTGTGAGTTCCGCGCCACTGATGTATTTATTTTTTTCTTCTTGTTTTTGTTTGTTTGCGTCTCTCCGTGAAACTCGTGCGGCCACAAAAGGCAGGTAGGATTTAACTCTGCGGCCAGCGGACACAGACACACGCACACCCGCAGCGTGGGTGGCTGAAGGGGAAAGTAGCACAAGAACAAAATAACTACATACATAAAAGAGCGAAAAGGAGACGGAGAGTAGTACGAGCACAAAAAAAAAAGAAAAAAAAGGAAGGAGGAAGAGGGAAGGAAGAAGCACACACAGGCAGAGAGTGAAGGCAGCGGGGGCGGGAACGGCAACGATGGTGTGCAGAAACGGCAATGCCTCCTCACAATTTAGCGTCTCCTCCATACAGCAGGAACGTGAGCTGCCGCAGCAACAGCAACAGCGGCAGCAGCAACAACAGGCCGCACTGTTTGGTTTGGAGCACCTTATGACGGCCACGTATCCGCCACCTAGCTTCGAGCCGAGCCGCACAGTGCTGCTGCGACGCAAGGTCGACGTCATTAACTGCATCACCAAGCGAATTCGGCGTATCAGTGAGGGCCTCACAGTTGGCAGTTTCTCCTTCAAAAACCGGCGTGCGCTGGCCCACACAGTCGTACGCAGTGCACTTCAGGCCGCCTACCACAATTGCCGTCGAGACATCTTTGTGGCCTCCTCATTTGATGCGGCTGAGGGGGTGCCTGTGTACAGCGACACCATCGCGGGGGCGTTTCTCTGCAACACCGTCAATTCCGCCGACCCAGTGCTTTACGCGTCGGTCCTGTCAAGCTTCGTTGCTTACGGTGTGGACTTCGCTGCGCCGCGTCACAGTGCGGGTGAACACGCGGCCGCGAGCAACCAGGCGACGCCACCGCTTCCTTTGCTAGACACCGCGCTCTACTGCCTGCATGAGACAGCAAAGACGATTTGTGCGCGGCCTGCGGCGCCACTTGAGGAAAATATTACTGAGCATAATGAAAACGGCGACCCCGCACCAAAGCAAGATCAAGGCAGTTTCCAGAATGGTTTTCTTACGCTGGTGAATAGTTACACGTTGTGTTCGCTTCTGAGGTTCTTTGCCGAGGAGGAGGAGGAGGGGGGGGAGGTGGTGGTGGAAGCAAAATGGAATGAGGCGAAGCCAAGCGCTGGGGGAAGGAAGCGTGACGCAGCCGACTCCTCACTTCGAGAGGCGCCCTTGCGTTACACCACAGCAGTTCTTTACCAGTTGTTTAGTATGAAACTTGGTCCACGTGCGCTAGAGGGCGCATTGCCATCCTTGTCAGCATCATCTTCGGTGCCAATGTCATCTATTAGCTCGTTTTTCGCCTTACTGTTTAAACGGGTGATCGATTATTGCTCCTTCGCCGGTGTGAGGTGGAACCTCTACTATGAGGTGGGAGTGGAAGCGGCGCAGAAGGCGCTTGCCTACGCCCCGCCCTTGCTGCGAGAGACGGCAGCGCTACTCGTGTCCTATTGCCGCCAATTCCCTCCGCTGTATCAGTCGGTTCTGAAGCAGGTGGGGGCGGAGGCTCACTTTATCCTGGATCAGCTGGTGCACTCGAAGTTGTTTCACTTTCCATCGAGCTCCCACGAGGAGATGGAGATGGAACGTTACGTGTTCTATGATAAAAAAAGCAGGACGACGACGACGAACGACGACGGCGGCGACGGCAATGCACCACGAGGCGGCAGCCAAGCGTGAGTCCGCTGCAAAGGAAGAGTTTGGGCCACAATTAAAGTTAACACCCTTTTTTCACAGCTGCAATGATGCTGGGCCGCACGAAAGCCAGTCTGGCGACATCCCTGTTTTTCGCAGTGGGGAGGCGCTTTCTCCCCAGCAGTGGAGCTCGTCGCTGGGAAGGGTCCTCTCGTCGAACGCGGCGACACCGTTGCCATCTACAGAGACAGAGCAGTCATCGCCTGCGTGTGTGGGGCTGTTGAACATGGGCAACACCTGCTTCATTAACAGCTTCACTCAGTTATTCTTCGCCGCACGGCATTTTCGGATAGACCTCTTGCGGGAGAAGCTTCCACGTCTGCTGAGCTCCCTCGATGATTCCGGTACTGGCAGTAAAACCGTATGGGAATGGGTTGGTGGACGCCGCGTTGCTGCAGGTTTTGTCCTCCTCATGCTGCAGATGCACTGGATGGTGACGCACGGCCTTAGCGGGCGGGCCGTGGACACGAAGTACTACCGGTATTTTTTGCCAGAACCGTTTAATGACGGCTTTCAGCACGATGCCTCGGAGTACGGGAAAGTGCTGATGGAGCTCTTGGACAACAGCTGTGCCGGCGAGACCGCAAGGGATGGCACCTCCTGTGCGTTGGAGGAGGACACCCCGTCCCAATCCGCGGAGGAAAAGGAAGAGAAAGGGGAAAAAGTCAAGGAGGGAACGGTGTTAGAGGAAGGAGCGGGGAGGTGGGGACTCACCACGGGCCATCTCCCGGCCACCGTCAGCACCCACACTGAAGGTAACACAACCGAGACTAAAAGTGGTGGCCATGGAGACATCAGCGGGGGTGGGACGACTCAGAGCACTGTTGTGGCACGATGGTTCGGTGGGGTCTCGGCGTCTCTCATCGAGTGCGTGTCATGCAATCACACACGAACTCAGTTGAGCCCATTCTGGGACATCAGCGTTCCGCTGCGCCGAGAGGAGGACGTCAAGTCGTGGAGCGACAGTGCAGAAGTCGTCTGCGACGAAGAGAAACACTTGAAGGAGGAGGCGCATGTGCTGCGCTCGGCAGACGGACATGTTGTTGCGATTACCACGTACTGTACGTACGACGCCGACGTGGACGGGGACGTGAACGATACAGCTCTGCCAAAGGAGGCGGAGGAGGCAAGACAGCAGCCTTCGCTGCAGGACCTTCTGGACAGCGTTCTTGACTACCGCAACTCTGGTGAGGTCCTCTATGGCGATAACATGACATATTGTGAGTCCTGCCGCAGTCGTGAGCCTGTTAGGCTGCGAACAGCTGTGCACACCATGTGCAAACGTAGGGTGCCCCTCACGGGGGACCATGGGTGGAGAGTACAACATGAGCAGCTGCAGGAGAGCGACATTGCGGGGGTACCTTTTTACCTCACCCTGCAGCTCAACCGTTTTCACTACCGTCGCGAAACCGGCAGCCATGAAAAGGTGATGGATAAGGTGACGATTAACAAGCTGATTGGTGTCCCGGTGCGGGTTGTAATGCGGGGGAGTGGTTGCGCCGACAGGGCTGAACACCCTGGCGAGGCTGCGGCTGTGGGGAATGAGGAGGAGGACGTTCTGCACGGGCGTATTCACTACCGACTTCTCGCAGTATTGGTACACAGCGGCCCCAGCCCCCGCAGCGGGCACTACTTTACAATACTACGCTTCTTCGCAGACGCAGACGCAGACGCGGAGGGGGAAGACGAAAACGATGGCACACGTGACTCGTGGGTACTGGCAAATGACTCCATGATCTCACCCTTGACGTCAGAGACCGCTGAGAACGTGTTGTCCGGCTCCAGCGGGGTTTTCGGTATGTCCGAGACGCCGTATATCATCCTCTACGAGCGCTGCGGGTATCCTCCGCCCGCCAACGAGGCGCTAGAACTCCCCACCGCGGTAGAGGAGCTGCTACGGAGCCTCGTGCTGCCAGGGGCACACGGGTCACCCGCCTCAGTCAACAACAACAACGGCGACGGAGGTGATGGAGACGACGGGGATGACGATGGCGCTGTCGGTGGTGGGGACAACGGTGCTGATGCGTTTGATGCAAACAACCCATTCTGGGGTGGCGGCACGCCCATCTTTTGAGGGAACGAAGTGGAGGGAGAGAAGTGCAAGGTTGGGTGGAGGACCCGCACAGCCCTCGGAAGGAAGGAAGAAACAAAAACGCGCACGTGTCTGCGGCGCATAAATGGCTTCCTCCCTCCTTTGAATCCCACCACCACCACCACCATTCTTCTCTCTCTATTTCTCTCTTTCTCTTTCTCTCTCTCTCTCTCTCTCGATCTCTTCTTTTCTTGTAAAAAGTAGTAGTGCTGGGCGTATTTAACATCTCGCCATCTCTCTTTCATTCTCGTTTTGTTCCCTTCGTCACTTACATATATTGTTTTAGAGGCACGAATACATCTTGACGCCCACTTTCATGGGTTCATTTTGTGAGGAAATGTATTTGCTCTCAACTGCGTACCACCGCGTGTCGCTGCGGCCAATGACGTAGTTCTTGTTTGTCAAATTTCACTGCCAGAGAGACGCCTCAAGGGACACGCGCGTACCTTTCTTTTTCCTTTGCTGTATGTATTTCTCTCTTTTTTTCCCCCCTTTGTTTATTGTTCCTACGCTTACTCTGCATGAGCTTTGTTTTTGCTTCTCTCATCTTGTTTTTTTTTTTTTTTTTTGGGTGGGGAGGGGGAGGGGGAGGGGTAGGGGGGGTCCTCTCGTTTATTCATCCTTTTTTTTCCGTTTTCTCCCGTCCTCTCTCTTTTACGCACGCACGCGTATGGATGCTGCCTGTGTGTGGTCCTCCTGCTCCGCTTGGATCTTCATGCAAGATGCAGGGATAACAGACGCTTTGTTTCGGGCATCTTGCCAGGTGCTTTTCTTTTTTTTGTGCATTTGCGCGTGGTCTCATTGACGCGTGCGAGCGTCTCCGCCCCATGTTTTGCGGCCGCAGCTGCCTGAGGAGGGAGACACGGGGGCATCTGAAGGCACCGCAGCGCCATGCAGCAGCCACGCAGTGCGACGGTCCGACCCGCTGCATGTTAACTCCACCTGCGGAGTTGACTATAACTCTGGCAGGGGGCAGCGGCGGCGAGGTCTCGCACCCTTCACTGTCGCGTACCGACATGAAACAAATTGCTCAACCCGAGTTGCATGGCACGGAGGGAAAATTCTCGCTGCCTCGCCGGATTTTCGGGTTGTGCGAGAGTTGCAGTCACAACACATGTCTGTGAATCATTACAGGCGTCAGCACAGGCGGGTGATGAGGACGCTACGCTTCGCCGAGCATACCGCCAATGTCGAGGCCTCCTTGCGGCTTGGCAAGCAAGGCAACCCGACGCTGCAATGACGCGGGGGTGTGGATGGTAATGCAGGGGGCATCGCACCGCAAGAGCGCGGGTACTTCTCTTCCAAGGCACAAAATGACGTTCACAATGGTGTGAGTCCCAGTGGTGCGGAGGAGAGGCCGGTATAAAACTCGTCGATGAGTTCCTGAATGACTCTGCGGCGTCGACTGAGCGTTGACGCGCAGCTTTGCAAGAAGCATGTCACCTCTGCCAGCGTCTTGGCGCTGCTCCCGGCGTCGCTGGGGAGCAGTTACATTGTTTGTCATTCCTCTAATCCAGCAGCATGCATTTGTGATCCGCTGGACGTTGGTGAGTAGAAGCCTGATTTTCTCATCGGAGTCTTGCGGCTTTCGTTGCGTGGCGACGTTTCGGACTCACAGTTGCACTCCCCCATGTTGAAGGGCCGAAACGCCAAGAGGGAGGTAGGTGTGCAAATAAGTTTCACAAGTGGCAATCTATCGAGCAACAGTTTGCAGCGTTGCGGCGTGAGTGTGTCGGCGCTCCTCCCTGTTGCTCTTCTTCCCGCACCTGACCGCCACCAGGTGAAGGTCGACAGGCTTCCGGTGTCTGCGCTAGCGCCAGGGGCGAGGGTGCAGGGGCCAATGACGGCAACGGCGAGCGGGGGTGAGCAGGAGGAGTCGCAGCATGGGTGCGGCAGTGGTGATTGGGACGCTTTGCGGATGCGAGGAGGCAGCACACGGAGTGCAATGAGCGAAAAGTGAGGGTTGCATGTCGCTGTGGCGCCGTCCATTGCACGGTGAGCAGAAGAAGAAGAGGAAAAAAAAAAGAGCCCAACTCGAGCGCTCACAGCCGACGTGTCCCTTTTTGCCGTCCACACGCACGAGGACAAGTTGCTGTAATGAAAAAGGCGTTGTCGTTGCTTTACAAATCAAAAAGTAAAAAAAAAATGAAATATATACGAATTCTCTCACTTATTGGTGCGTGTATGTTTGGCTGCTGCTGCTGCTGCTTGCTTTTTTTGTAGAATCCAAGCGAGGGACGAAACCAAAAGAAGAGAAAAAAAAAGGATCTACATTGGTTTCTGGAGGCATATATATATATATATGTATATATGATTTCGTTAAGGTGCATACCACCGCATATTGCACACCTCGTCGGACGGAATATTCACCCCACACACCCCGCGTATACCTGCTTCCAGGTAATTTATATCGATTCCTGGAAACCAGGGCCCAGCAACACGTTGTGTTTGCATGTACCACCGCATGCACCGACGGTTGTGCCTGCCTGCCTGCATGTAATTTCATTTTTTTTTTGTTTGGGCGGTTGAATGGTGATTTTTTTTTTTCTCTGAGAGACGTGTCATTAATTGTGTGGCCCCGCCACGACGAAGGGGCTGGAGAGACGCGATCCCGCAAGGGATGGGCAGGCCACCGTTGTGTGTTTACTTCCTCCTCAAAAGGCGTGGGTAGTGGGGAGGGCGTTGCCTCCGCATCTGCGTGGACTGGCAGTGCCATGGACCAAGGCCCAAGCATCGCAGCTGCGTGGGCGTGGACGTGTGTGTGTGGTGTCATGGCATGTGTGTCTCTTTCTCGTTTTCCATACTTTTGTGTGTGTGTGTGTGTGTTGACTCGCAGGAAGCAGGTGGTTGTGTGTGTGGAGTGTTACGCGGCCGCGTCGAAGGGCAACCAACAGGCGAAAGTGAGAGAGAGAGAGAGAGAGGGAAAAGAAAGCAAACAAAAATAGAGAAAAGAAGGTAGGCAAAGAAACACAGCACGGGATCCAGCAAATAAAATGCCTTACGCCGCCGCGCAAGCAGTCGCCACTACGGCAGCTGCCCCGCAGAGCCTCTACGAGGAGCACGAGCGACTGGTAAAGGCCATTCAGAACTTGGAGCTTAAGACGATGATATGCAAGACGGAAACTCACCACCTGCAGAAGGAGGAGAGTGCAGCAAAACAGGAGGTGCAACGTATTCAAGCCGTACCTCTTCTGCTCGGCACATTTGTAGAGGCTGTGGATGCGGGTCGCGGCATCGTCGGTGGGGCCTCCAGCAGCAATTACTATGTGCGTATTCTCAGTACCCTTGACAAGGAGCGACTGAAGCCTGGTGCGAGTGTGGGGTTGCACAAGGGCAGCAATGCCTGTGTGCAGCTTCTCCCCAACGAGACTGACTCTACGATTCATCTTATGCAGAAGGAGGATAAGCCAAGTGTGACGTACAGTGATGTGGGAGGTCTCGACATGCAAAAGCAGGAGATTCGTGAGGCGGTGGAGTTGCCGCTGACACATGCGTCGTTGTACGACCAAATTGGGATTGATCCTCCACGCGGGGTGTTGCTCTACGGCCCGCCTGGCACCGGAAAGACGATGCTTGTGAAGGCGGTGGCTAACCACACCAAGGCCTCCTTCATCAGCGTGTCGGGCTCCGAGTTTGTGCAGAAGTACCTCGGCGAGGGGCCGCGGAAGGTGCGCGATGTTTTCCGCCTCGCCCGGGAGAACGCGCCGTCTATTATTTTTATTGATGAGGTGGACAGCATTGCAACGAAGCGCTTTGACGCCCAGACAGGCGCTGATCGTGAGGTTCAGCGTGTCCTGGTGGAGTTGCTGACGCAAATGGATGGCTTTGATCAGACGACAAACGTGAAGGTGATTATGGCAACAAACCGCTGGGACACGCTTGACCCCGCGCTGCTGCGACCTGGGCGGCTTGACCGCAAGATTGAGTTCCCGTTCCCCGACCGACGCCAGAAGCGCCTTGTGTTTCAGGTCTGCACGGGCAAAATGAATCTGTCGCCTGAGGTGGACCTCGAGGACTTCGTCACGCGACCAGAAAAACTCAGCGGTGCGGACATCCAGGCCATCTGTCAAGAGGCGGGCATGCTCGCAGTGCGAAAAAACCGCTACGTCGTGTTGCCTAAAGATCTTGAGAGCGCCTACCGTACCGTCATTCGAAAGACGGGGGATGAGCAGTACGACTTTTACTCGTAAGAATGAATTTGCGTGGAGACGAGGAACCAGAAGAAAAGCGATGTTGTGTGCGTCTTTGGAGGAGAGGGGGCCAAAGGGATGTGTGCGTGTGTGTGTATCTCCCTGCTCCGGACGGGGCAGCCCGTTCAAGAAGAAGAGACGGTGAGAAATGGAGAGGAGTGAAGGACCTTTTTTTTGTTTGTTTGTTTGTTTTTGGCCGTCATGTGGCTTTAGGCGTTTGCTTCTCTCCTGCTCTTTCTTCGGCTACGGCTACGGCTACGGCTGTTATCAGGAGTTGGTACTTGGGGATGAGGGGAGGAGCAGTGTTGGTCATGATTCCGTGCTGTTTTTCTTCTTGTTGTTGTTTGTGTGTGAATGTGTGGTTTTTCTTTCTGTTATCGTACATCTCTGAGAGGCAACGGAGCGTTGACGGATGGGAAGGTGAGCCCGCAGGACGTCTGTGACGCCTTCAACTAACTGGGAAGAAAAGGATCCGTCGGACGGCAAACAGGTGGCCTTGGATTGACTGACACACGTCTCTGTTGATCGAGACATTTAACCCAAACCAAACAACGTCGACCGGAAGAGTCCTACTGTGCTGTGCAATGAGCTCTCACAGTGGCTTCTCTGGCGTTGGACCGCATTGGCAGCAGCTGCCATGGTATTTAAGGGCT